GGAACAGCTGCCCCTTCCTGTGTGCCGGGAACAGCCGCCCCCTCCCCTGAGCAGGGAACAGCTGTCCCCTCCTGTGTGCCAGGAACAGCTGCCCCCTGCTCCTGACAGGGAACAGCTGCCCCTTCCTGTGTGCCGGGAACAGCCGCCCCCTCCCCTGAGCAGGGAACAGCTGCCCCCTCCTGTGTGCCAGGAACAGCTGCCCCCTCCCCTGAGCAGAGAACAGCCGTCCCCTCGTGTGTGCTGGGAACGGCCGCCCCCTCCCCTGAGCAGGGACCAGCCGCCCTCCACTCCTGGCAGGGAACATCCATCCCCTCCTATGCACAAGGAACAGCCACTCTCTCCTCTGTGCATGGAACAGCTGCTTCCTGCCCTGCCCAGGACACAGCCACACCCCACTCTCCGCCAGGCACAGCAGCCCCCTCTGTCGTCGCCCGTCAATTCCTGCTGCAAGAACCTGATCATGGGAGGCTCCCCCACTAGCAATAGCCTGCCCCAGTCTAAGAGGTGCAACCAGTGCCCTGAGTGTGGCCGGGGCTTCAGACAGAGCTCAGACCTGCAGCGGCACCGGCGCATCCACACGGGAGAGAAGCCTTTCCACTGCCCGGTGTGCGAGAAGAGCTTCCGGCTGCAGTCCAACCTGATTGTGCACCACCGTACGCACACTGGGGAGCGGCCCTACCAGTGCGGGGAGTGCGGCCGCGCCTTCTCGCAGAGTTCCACCCTCCGGACCCACAGTAAGATCCACTTGGGCCAGAAACCCTATGTTTGCTCTGTGTGCGGCAAGAGCTTCCACCACAACTCAAATCTTGTCCTCCACCAACGCACCCACACTGGCGAGCGGCCCTATGAGTGCAGTGTCTGCGCCAAGCGCTTCAGTGACCGCTCCACTCTGGCTCAGCACCGACGCGTCCACACGGGTGAGCGCCCCTACACCTGCTCCGAGTGTGGCAAGTGCTTCAGTCAGGCCTCACACTTGGTCAAACACCGACGCACCCATGCAGTCCCCTGCACTGTGCTGGCCAGGGACACAGCTGTCCCCCAAAACAGGCCTGGCACAGGGGAGAAGAGAGACACTCCTAGGCACAGACCAGACAGTGGGGTGGAAAGAGCCACCCCCAGAGACAGGCCAGACGAGGACAGAGCTCCTCCCAGACATGGGCCGGGAATGGGGGATGAGAGAGCCACTCCCCAAAATGGCCCTGGCACAAGAGAGGAGAGAGACACCCCCAGACATGGGCTGGGCACAGGGGAGGAAAGACAGCATGGAAAGATGTGCTGTCTCTGAAGATGTTTTGGCAGGGAGAAGGAGAGAGAGGCCTCAAAAGACACATCAGCCACAAGGAAGGACGCAGCTACCACCAATCACACACCGGCATAGGTACGGAGAAAGCAGCAACAAAAATCACGTTGGCTGCAGGGAAGAAAAGGTTGACCCCCAAACCTGGGGCTGATGAGAGGAGAGCTGCCCCTCAAAATGGCCCGGGCAGGGGGAGGACAGAGCCACCCCAGGCCATGCCGCAAAGAATGCCAAACAAAAGATGCACCAGCGGTGGATGAGGAGAGAGCAACCCTGAAAGATGCACTGAGGGCAGCGAAAGACAAAGCAGCAACAAAAGATGCATCAGTAGAGGGGAAGGGAGAGTCACCCAGAAACTTGCTTCAGAGGGAGAGGAGAGAGAGGCCTCAAGAGACACAATGGCCATGGGGAAGGGGAGAGCCACCCCCAAACCCGCACTGGCCATGGGGAAGGGGAGAGCTGCCTTGAAACGTGCTCCAGGGACACAAGGCCCAGACTTCAGGGGAGCCCTCTCATGTCACTGCATGGTATGGACAGGGATGACTCATGGGGGGCAGAGACTGTGGGGAGCCCTGTCACTGAGCAGTAGGGTTGGGGCTGGCTCGTAGGAACATGCATTAAGCTGGGGGTTCACAGACCAGGTGTGAAACCCCATCAATGTGCAGGAGGGCAGTAATGCCAATGCCATAAGCTCACACTTAGGCAGCAATGGAGAAGCCGGCCTGGCGTGGGATGCACTAACGGCTCGGAGAGGATGGGCAGCACGAAGGCACTTCTGGCACCGCAGAGAGGCCCTGCTGGACCCGGAGCTGGTGGAGCGAATGGCTGGCACTTAACATGCAACTACAGACATCTCTGTGGGGGGAGCTAAAACCTGCTAAAAACAGAAATATGTTCAGGTTCTTGCCAGAAATGGTCTGTTATCAGGTGTTTGGTTTTCCAACAGAAAGTAGCTCTGTAGTGCAGTGAGTGGATGTCCCCTCCCCAAGTCCCCCAGAGCACAATTGTAGAGGTGTCCAGGATGAGTGGGGGACGATGTTACAGAGGTGGCAAAAGGGACTGTCACAGGGTCACTCACCACATAGGCGCCTCCTGCTGGCCATTTTGGGAATTAGCTCAGTCCCAGCAGGTGCGCCCTCGGGTGGTGGTGGGTCTCCCGTCCTCGTCTCTGCTTGCAGGCCCGGTATGGCTCCTTTCTGCTCGGCATCTATTTTGTGGCACAGCCCCCTGGCTGTGTCACCATCCGTTTTCCCCCCCTTCTGGGGAACTCGTCCAACAAGAGTCCAGCCACTCCTCGCAGTGGCTTGGCAGTCCACAGCTGGGCCACTCTTTCAGCAGCTAGTGGGGGGGGGCAGGCCCTCCCACTCCTCCGGGCCCCAGCCCAGGGACCCTGCAAACAGCAGCTTCTTGGTGCCTCTTCCTGCCAGCCCACTGTCTCTATTCCCTGAGCCACTTCCCGCAGCCTCAGTTCCTTCTGCTCCTGCCTCTGGCTCCAGCTCATGTGCCCTCTTCCCAGAGCCTTGAGCCTGTAAATCCTGGCAGCCCATCAGGAGCTCTCCCTAGCTTCCCCGGTCCCTGCTAGCACCTGCCCTTCCCCAGGTGCTGGTCTCTCTGTAGCCAGTGTGGGGCAGGTCCCCTGTCACAGGGACATACAGAGGATACACCATCTTTCTCCTGCTCTTAAGCAGAGGGGACCACTGGGCCCTCTAAGATACCTCACAGGCATCCACATCACCAGCATCAGCAGAGCTTCCCAGTTACGAGAGCAAGCAAACCATTTGCTTTCTAAATAAATTCATAGCCTAGGCTCCACAATAACCTTAACTCTGACCCCAACCCAACTCATGAGACTATGATACCATGTGTCATGACATACTAGTGGCTTATGAAGCTTCAGGGAGTAAGTGAGGCTGTTCTCATGCTGCTTCTGCATGTGCCTGAATTGAGAGGTGAGGTGTTTGGGTTTGTTGCTGTCGCTGAGGCTGAAGTGGACACAGGGTCCATGCAGAGGCCGGTGGGTTGTTGCTTCGATCTACAACACAGTTGTTGATGGAATTTCCAATGTGAGTATCCAAATCCTTCAATTCAGAGCTAAGATTGTTTTGAGGACCCTTAACTATGTATTTCTTGACTTTCAAAACTTTATACTGCAGTATGTGCAGAACCTGGCTAAGAGATGGCAATACAAGGACGATTGTGAGGAGGACATGGACACAGACGTTCCTGAAAGCACGGGATGTGGCAACTGGGACATCATGGTGGCAGTGGGGCTGGCTGATACAGTGGAACGTCGATTCTGGGCCCGTCAAACAAGCACAGACTGGTGGGACTGCATAGTGTTGCAGGTATGGGATGATTCCCAGTGGCTGCAAAACTTTCGCATGCGTAAGGCCACTTTCCTGGAACTCTGTGAGTTGCTTTCCCCCACCCTGAAGCACAGGAATACCAAGATGAGAGCTGCCCTCACAGTTGAGAAGCAAGTGGTGATAGCCCTGTGGAAGCTTGCAACGCCAGACAACTACCGGTCAGTCGGGAATCAATTTGGAGTGGGCAAATCTACGGTGGGGGCTGCTGTGATTCAAGTAGCCAGTGCAATCACTGACGTTCTACTATCAAGGGTAGTGACTCTGGGAAATGTGCAGGTCATAGTGGATGGCTTTGATGCAATGGGGTTCCCTAACTGTGGTGGGGCGATAGACAGAACGTATATCCCCATCTTGGCACCGGACCACCTTGACAACCGGTACATAAACCCCAAGGGGTACTTCTCAATGGTGCTGCAAGCACTGGTGGATCACAAGGGACGTTTCACTGACATCAACGTGGGATGGCCGGGAAAGGTGCATGACGCTCGCATCTTTAGGAACTCCGGGCTGTTTGAGCGGCTGCAAGAAGGGACTTACTTCCCAGACCAGAAAATTACTGTTGGGGATGTTGAAATGCCAATATTTATCCTTGGGGACCCAGCCTACCCCTTTCTCCCATGGCTCATGAAGCCATAAACAGGCAGCCTGGACAGTAGTAAGGAGCAGTTCAACTATAGGCTGAGCAAGTGCAGAATGGTGGTAGAATGTGCCTTTGGACATTTAAAAGCTCGCTGGCGCTGTTTGCTGACTAGGTTAGACCTCAGTGCAACCAATATTCCCATTGTTATTACTGCTTGCTGTGTGCTCCATAATATCTGTGAGAGTAAGGGGGAGATGTTTATGGCGGGATGGGAGGTTGAGACAAATCGCCTGGCTGCCAATTTTGAACAGCCAGATACCAGGGCAATTAGAAGAGCACAGGTAGATGTGCTGTGCATCAGAGAGGCATTGAAAACCAGTTTCATGACTGGCCAGGCTATGGTGTGACAGTTGTGTGTGTTTCTCCTTGATGAAAACCCGCCCCCTTTGTTGATTTTAATTCCCTGTAAGCCAACCACCCTGCCCCCCTTTGATCAGAGCTGGCAAAGGAAATAAAGTCATTATTGTTTTGAAACCATGCATTCTTACTTTATTAATTTTTTAAAAAGGGAGATAACTGATAAGGTAGCCCGGTTGGGGTAGGGTGGGGTGGGATGGGGGAGGAGGGAAGGACAAGGCCACATTGCTTATTGTAACCACACTTCAAATCAAAACTGTTTGAATACAGCCTTCTGTTGCTTGGGCCATCCTCTGAAGTGGAGTGGCTGGGTGCTTGGAGCCTCCCCCCACCATGTTCTTGGGCATCTGGGTGAGGAGGATATGGAACTTGGGGAGGAGGGCAGGCAGTTGTACAGTGGATGCGGGGGGGGGGGTCTGTGCTCTTGTTGGCTTTCCTGCAGCTCCACCAGATGCCTGAGCATGTCCGTTTGCTCCCCCATTAGCCTCAGCATCGCCTCCTGCCTCTTCTCATCGCGCTCACTTAATGCTTTCCTGTACTCTGTCACTGTATGCCTCCATGCATTCAGCTGTACCCTATCAGTGCGGGAGGACTGCATGAGCTCGGAAAACACTTCATCGTGAGTGCATTTTTTTTCGCCTTCTAATCTGCGATAACCTCAGGGATGGAGATGATAGGGGGAGCATAGAAACATTTGTACCCGAGGGGGGATAAAAAGGGAGATTAAAATTTAAGATGAGACATTTCTGAGAACAAAAGCGAGACTCTTTCACAGTGAATCAAGCAATTCACAGCAGACAGCACATGTTCTTTAGGTACAAGGTCGCATTTTGCCTTTTATATTGAGCGCCTGTCAGTATGGTGACACATCACACAGGGCTGGGCAACAGAATTCGGTTTCCAGGCAGCCATGGTAAGTCAAAGGGTATGCGGGTTTGGCTTCTAATGCCTTCATAACATGTGGGAATGTTTTCAAACTGCAGCACCCTCCTTTCCCATAGCAAGCAATGCCGGTTGGGTTTGCCATTTAAAAGGAGGGGCTGCGGTTATCAGGTGGATGTGCAGCACACACCTTCCCCCACCCCTCCGCGTGGCTATTTGGGATGATCCCTTCACCCCTCCACCCACCGCGTGACTATTCTCAGGGATGATCCCTTTTAGCCAAGCACAAACAGCCCAGTATGAACAGGGTCCCTTTACTGTTCCCTTACAAAAATTCCCCTATTTCAACCAGGTGACCATGAATGATATCACTCTCCTGAGGCTAACACAGAAAAATATAGACCGAATGTTGCTTGAATGCAACCAAAACCAGGACTATTCACTGCCATGTTTTGTGCTGCAATGATTCCAGACTACTTGCTACTGGCTTGGTGGTAAAGTGTCCTACTGTGGAGGACAAAATAAGGCAGCCCACTCCAGAAACCTTCTGCAAAGACTTTCAGAGTACCTCCAGGAGAGCTTCATGGAGATGACCTTGGAGGATTCCCACTCCATCCCCAGACACGTTAACAGACTTTTCCAGTGGCTGTACTGGCCGCGAATGCATCCCAAGTCTTCAGGGCAAATCAAACATTAAACACTATTGCTTTTAAACCCTGTACTGTAGTTACAAATGTGCACTCACCAGAGGTGCCTTCTCTGCTTTTAGGGTCGGGAATCCCGCCTTGGGAGGGTATTGGCTCCAGGGTGATGAAAAGGTCCTGGCTGCCAGAGAGAACGGATTCACCACTTGCCTGCTGCGCATTCTCCTCCTCCTCCTCTTCTTCCTCATCCACAAAATCCTCCTCCCTGTTGTGTGAAACTCCCCCCTTGCAGGTGTCCACGGACAGTGGTGGGGTAGTGGTAGGGTTCCCCCCTAGAATGCCATGCAGCTCATCATAGACGCGGCATGTATGGGGCTCTGACCCAGAGCTACCATTTGCCTCCTTTGTCTTTTGGTCGGCTTACCTGAGCTTCTTAACTTTCATGCGGCGCTACTGTGTGTCCCTGTTGTAGCCTCTGTCCACAATGCCCGGTGTGATTTTGGCATATATATTAGCATTTCTTCTTTTTGATCGGAGTTGGCCTGCACAGATTCTTCTCCCCATACGGCAATCAGATCCAGTGTCTCCCGTTCGCTCCATGCTGGAGCTCGTTTGCGATTCTGGGGGGACTGCATGGTCACCTGTGCTGCCGAGCTTGCCACGCTGACCAAACAGGAAATGAAATTCAAAAGTTCCCGGGGCTTTTCCTGTGTACCTGGCTAGTGCATCGGAGTTGAAAGTGCTGTCCAGAGCAGTCACATTGGAGCACTCTGGGATAGCTCCCGGAGGCCAATAACGTAGATCTGCGTCTGCACTACCCCAAATTCGACCCAGCAAGGTCGATTTTAGCGCTACTCCCCTCGCCGGGGAGGAGAACAGCAGTCGATTTTAAGAGCACTTTAGGTCGGCGGAACAGGGTTGCTTGTGTAGACACATTCATTATAAAATTGACCTAATGCAGCTAAATTTGACCTAACCCGGTAGTGTAGACCAGGGCTAAGTGTGCAGTGTTGTTGGAAGCGCTGGGCGCACTGGTGGGGGCAGGCCCTGTGGGGGGCCATGTTGTCCTTCAGTTCCCCTGTTGCCACGGCACTTGTGGTACCTTCACCCCTGGCCTACTCCAGTGGGGAACTCTCCAGCCAGTGCTGGCATTCAAAGCTGTTTGTCCTAGAGGAAGTCTGCAATGAGCCCTCTCTGCGATTCCTTGAGAATGACCCATGTAGGCCCATGGATGCTGCCTCCTTGTTCTTATGCAGGAGACCTCGATATCTGCTGGGATAAAGAGGGGAGCTGTTCAAGGGTCCACTCTAGCTCAGGCATAGGGCCAGATGCAGGAATTGCTGGGTGAGATTCTTTGACCAGGTTATGCAAGAGGCCAGACTGGATGGTGAGAATGGGCCCTTGTGGCCTTCACATCTATGGGACATGAGCTCTTTGGGGCAGACATTGTATCTATGCAGCGCCAAACACAACAGGGCCCCAATCTTGGTCACCGTGTGTCTGTGAAGTGCCTGGCCCAATGGAGCCCAGAGCTAAGTTGGGGCCTGTAGGCACCACCATAACATAAATAATAGACTGAATAAGGCCAGAGAAATGTGTGCAGAATGCACTGTAGCAAGGTAACCTTTGGCTAAAAACCATATGGCAGAGCCCAGCAAAAAAGGACAAATTAGTTTTGGTAAAAATGCTGAGGTTGTTTTCAGTTCACAGGTTTCCAAACACTCATTTATTGTTTTCCCTAAATTCTTGGTGGAACATTTTTATAAGAAATATTATAAAAAATGTTAGTGAGATTTTTTTCATTTACAAAACACTCAACTTTTGCTAAATAAAATTTTTCCATTTACCTTAAACAGTTTCAATGACCATTTTAATGACATTTTCAATCATGTTTTGATTAAAAAAATGTGAAAATCATTTTGAGAAATAAAAAAAAAGTTTTTCAATGGAAAAAAACCCTTTTCTTTTGAAAAATTGTCATCGGCTCTCCTCCCTCGAGGAAGTGGGGAGCAATGCAGAGAGGTGTGGAGTCTTAGATGTGTTCGGAGCTGAGGCCCTGGCAAGTTGGTGGCCTCCGAGACCAGTTAAAAATTAGCCCAGTGACACATTTCCAAGGGTTGAAGGGCTCTGCACTAAGCTTTGACGCTCTGTTGCCATGACTAGGGCCTTGTTAACTTCCCCTCCATTCCAGATTGGGCCTAGTGTCACACCAATCCCAATTACAAGATGTCCAGCAACAATGGAAACCTAAGGGTTTGATTTACATTGACCATGGCTGCTGTTGGGGCTAGTTTTCCAATGTGTACATAATTTCTCTCATCTACCCATGAGGCTCTCACTGAACCCAACCAACACTCAAAATGACCCCCCTACTCCCGAGCCCATCACAACCTCCTCCCAGCCCTGTCATTCATCTACCACCACAGCACACCCAGAGAGACGCACACCAAACCATACACACCCAGACACATGCATCACACCTCTAAGAATAATTTCTCGATTCACACACTGCACCATCCGGAATGGATCTTCCCCATGGCCTCA